AACCATCCAAAAACTCTGCATAATTTATGTGAGCACTGCACTGATGTTCATAAACTTTCATAACTGGTGTTTTTTCTTTTGCCTTGTGAACTGGCCGAGGCTTAATGATTCTGTTTCTTTTCATGTATTTGTTTACTGACCGTATGCGGTCGTGAAATACAACTTTTTTTTTTAATTGGCTATTCGTTGTAGAAAAAAAAAAAAAAATTTCGGGGCGGGTTCGGGCTCTAAATTTAACTGTGCCGCCCGCTCGGGTCGGGCCGGGCCAGATGATCTCGGGTACGGGTCGGGTTCGGGCTTCAGTTTAAAGCCCGTGCAGACCTCTAATACCCATACGGATTTGAAATAACAGTGTAGTGTAGGCGATGTAAATGACCAAACTTTTTTTTGTTTTTTCCCATAAACCATTTAATTCACATAAGTAAAAACCTTACTGAAATTAAAGGGTTAGTTCACCCCAAAATGAAAATTCTGTCATTAATTAGGCCTACTCACCCTCATGTCGTTCCAAATCCGTAAGACCTTCGTTCATCTTTGAAACACAAATTAAGATATTTTTGATGGAATCTGAGAGCTGTCTGACCCTCCATAGACAGCAACGCAACTGAAATGTTCCCAAGTCCAGAAACGTAGCAAGGACATCGGTAAAACAGTCCATGTGACAAAGGTGGCTCAACTTCAATTTTACAAAGCTATGAGAATACCTTTTGTGTGCAAAACAAATAATAACGACTTTATTAAACAATTATTCTCCGGAGTTACTGTTTTCCGCCATTTTGGAGAGTATCACAACGCATACGCACGCTTTACCCTAAGCATAAACAACGCTGATTACGTTCTTGGGTACTCTCCAAAATGGCAAAGGACGTAACTTGAGGGAGAAGAATTGTTAAATAAATTGTTATTTTTGTTTTCTTTGCTCTCAAAACGTATTCTCGTAGCTTCGCAAAATTCACATGGGACTGCTTTACCGATGTTCTTACTACGTTTCTGGACTTGGGAACATTTCAGTTGCGTTGCTGTCTATGGAGGGTCAGAGAGCTCTCAGATTCCATCGAAAATATCTTAATTTGTGTTCCGAAGATGAACGAAGGTCTTATGGATTTGGAACGACATGAGGGCGAGTAATTAATGACAGAATTTTCATTTTGGGGTGAACTAACCCTTTAATCATTTGTGGAATGCATTATGATATTTGTGAAGAAGAAAACTGATAGTTTTCTATGGAAGCTCGTTTCATGAGATTAAAAAAAACATACTTTATCTCACAATTCCGACTATTATTCTTCAAATTCTGAGGGGAAAAAAGACAGAATTGTGAGTTATAAACAGAATTGTGAGATATACAGTGGCTATAGAAAATAATCAATCACACACCCCCCTCCCCTCCTTTAAAATAATCACATTTTGTTGCTTTGCAGCCTGAAATGAAGTGGCTTTTTCTTGCAATTCTGAGTTTATATCTCACAATCCTGAGTTTTTTTGTTCTCAGAATTGCCAGAGGAAATGTCTGAATTGGGAGGTAAAAAGTTGCATTTATACATTCATTCATTCCATGGCTCTACAAGCTCCCATAGCTTTCCTGACAATTTCAACAATAAAAGTCATACTTTATATGTACTTTATTTGACTTCAGAGCCATTTCAGTAAAACCATTAGTGCTCCCTAAAAATGTGAACGATTAAGTCTGCTTGGTATCAATAGGTATATTTGTGATTTCTGACAAATGACTAAACTGAATTAAATCAAAGAGCATAAAAAACATGCAGTTACATGCAACTGTGAATCCTTTTGTAGAAATGAATTCAAATAAATGCAGTCTTGACAGAAAGAGGGATTCAGATGGGTTACAGCAGGCCTACTCATTTTATAGTCATCCTTGACGAAGCCGTTGCGTGATAGTAATCCAGCTAATATCAAACTGAGTCTCATTTCTGACCTTTTATTGGAAGTGTATCTTTTCGTAAGTGAATCCAAGATTAAGTCTCTTAGTAATACATTTCAGCTGAATGAATTAGTTTGGATAAGAGAGCCTATAGCAGAGTGTTGACTAAAATTATGCGACTCATTCCAATTTGCTGGATGCATGATGGGAATAAACTGTAATTTATTTATTCACACTCACAAGGACACATGTGTGTGTATATATTAATAAAATACAGCATTTTATTAATGTAAATACAAGTAAATCATTTAAGAAGATTCTAGGATACATTAATATAATGCAAACAAGTTTCCCAAGTGCACTTTACACATCTAGACTGTTTTACTTCTTAAGCAAGGTTTGCTTCCCATCAAACACGTTCATCTATTGACCACTGGCCTGTATCCCATCTCCCCTTCCAGCTGTTCGGCTGTTAAAGTTCCCAGGATGGGTTGACAATCAGGGTTAAACACAGAATACGCGCTCATTTCTCCAGGCTGTCGGGCTCTTGGGCTTCGAAGGCCCTCATAGAGCCAGTAGAATAACGATATGAGAAAAAATGGCAGGCCAAACTCAAGTTCTGAAAAAAGCCCCAGCAGCACGAGCCACAGCAGCACTTTCAGCAGGGTCAGATGTGTAAGAGCCACACTCTGAAGCCATCGACCACATGTAGCATTCAGCAAATGATGATTGTGATCCTAAAATGACAGGAAATTATTAGATTGGGTTCATTAGGCAAAACGACATGGGCAGTTTCCAGTGTGTTTCCAATTATGTATCGCTGTTGTTGTTGTTTTTAAGTGGTAAGTGTGATCATACCTCAGTGTGTGGACTCTGAAGGCAGGTGTTGGGCTTCTGTTCTGGTGTGTCAGTACACACTGATGGAGAACCAGCGCTCATTGCTGTAGTTTCAGTCTGGATCACACGATCAGCAGGTTCCTTCGCTTCAGTCTGGGCTTTCTTTCGGGCTCTGAACTCAGACAGCTTACGCTCCATATTTCATACCTGAAAAACTGTAATCCGAGGGAAAATGTAGAGAGTAATTAATCTGCGTTGAAATCGCTGCTGCGGTCACGTGTCAATATTTACCTATACTTCCGTATTAGTTTTGCACTGGTCGGCAAATGCTTCAGTCTAATGTTTGTCACGCACTAAAGTTTCCCCCCCCCACCAGGGTGGCGCTTGGTGGCTCACAAAACCAAATCCTTCCTTCAGCCAAATTCAAATTTCGGGACTTTTTTTTTTGTCTCAATATTTTAAAACAAAAACACCATCACATAAACTTATTAGTTGATCAATTCCAGTGAATAATACGAGGCATACATGAAATAGTAACTGCGCATCTCTACAAAAATCAATGAATCCTTGTAATCGCAGACCACTGTTATTGGCCCAGGCTGACCAGCGCTGAGTAAAGTAACAGCTATCACGTGACACCGCCCATCTATTTCCGCAAAGGATGATAGCCTACAACCTTCACGAGCAATTTAACTACAAATACACAGTGAGGAGTTAAATAAGGGAAGTATTATTTATACCAGTCGCGGTCCACCAATTAAGAGAGTTCTGGTCGCAAAGCCTCGTTCATTTTATGACTTTATTGATAGTTGCATTGCCATCTTCTATGGTTCACCAAACGAGTTGCAGTCGGACACTTTTATGGCTGTACCCAGCGGAAGTGTGTGCGTCTCAGGAGAGGCTGTGATTAGGCATCATCGATGTAAGTACATGGACATATTTCAGATATTAGGTAGAAAATATGAATATATTTACATCTGAACCTCAGAAAGAATGGTTAATCAGTGGTTTTGCGGTAAGCGGAACTAACGATACACTGATAGATGACAGCTGAACCCAGCAGAGCTCTCATTCTTCACAACAACACATATCAATATTACATGTCTAATTATCTATATAAGTTGAGGCTGCTTGCAAGCAATCTGTGCAGCTATATATTCAGTATATTTAAGTATTATTTATTGGGTATTTCGTCTTTGCCCTATAATCAGAATCAAGGGGTTGATGTCGTTTTTTGTGCTCAATATACTGTTATTATACTTAATTTGATGTTTCCCTGTCAAACATTTTTGTTGGTTTTTAATACAGTTCACATTTTCATTTATTTAAAAAAGGTCAAAGAAATTCACACATTTATACAGCAAATGTAATACTATGTGAGCATGTGATAAACAAAACTATTTAAAGGGGTCATATGATGCGATTTCAAGTTTTCCTTTTTCTTTGGAGTGTTACAAGCTGATTGTGCATAG